GCCCGCGCCCCAGCCACGGGGGCTAGTGGCTGAAAGAGAAGCCGGTGCTGAGCAGAGCTCGTGTCTTGGTACAGTGGGGAGGGTGGGAAACCACAAGGAGGTGAGAGTGGGGATTCCTACCAGGGAAACTCCAGCTGGGGACTGAAGCGTTCCGGCTCTGCACCTTCCCTCACTGCAGGGCTGCCCTGCCCTCTGCTGCCTTTGTACAGGTGTGGTGGGGAGCGTGCAGGCTGACCAGGGGTGCCCTGGATAGATGCTCACCTGGACAGCAGGGAGGTGAGGTGGTCTGCAGTGGTGGGGTCTGGGTTGATGGGGGGCGACGTGACGAAGGCTGCAGCCTTTGCCCAGTTCTTGCTCCAGTAGTGTGAGCCATCAGTGCCCAGGCTGGCAGTGATGGGCTCCCCAAACACAACCACCCCTGCAGTGATCAAGATCCTTTAGAGGCACCTCACCCACCAGCCTGCACCCCTCCTCAGCCAGGGCCTCAGCACAGCACAGGCCTCAGCACTGCCACTGCTGACACCCCTGCTGCCCCCTACTTTCCTTATCCAGGAAAGTGGGGGGGTCCCTGGCCCTGGGCAGAAATCTCATCCTGGACAGACATGATTGACCCTGGGGGTCTCTCGGTGTTGGGGGTCTGAAGCAGCTGACAACAGGCCCTCTCCAAACTCACATCCAGCTAGGGATCAGGCCAGCCAGCTCTCCCGGAGTGAGACCCGATCAACACACCACCTGCAAGGCAGCTGACCGGCCCAGGAGCTCTGGCTCAGGGCTGAAGCGGCTCCTACTCGTGGGCAGTGAGAAGTACCGGTCTCAGGTGGGGCAGGGGCACCCCAGAGGAGAGCCTGGCCCCGCTGCAGAGTGGCTTCTTAGGGCTGAAGTCAGGCTCCTGCACTCTAAACCCTTAACAAACAGGGTGGGTTTGTTTTGACCCTCGATGAGGAAACGTCTGAGTGCACACCCCACCCCCCCACCCTAGGCACCCAAAGCCTCAGAGCAGGTGCAGGAAATGAAGTTTGGTGGGGGCAGCAGGAGGTGGGGAAACCAGACTCGATCCCGGGCCCCAGGCCTGTCTTGGAGATGTCTCCTCATCCACCCGCCACCCCCGTCCTGTGACTTGACCCCTGGCTCTCTCCAGCCTCCTGGCTGGTGGCGTTCCCCGACTCTGAGCTCAGCAGCCTCTAGGAGACCGCACAGCCTGGCTGCTGTGATCCCAGCCTCATGCACCCCTGTACCCCGCCTGGCCTGAGGCTCTCATCATGAGCCGGGGACCCTGCGGCTCCAGGCCAGGCCAGGGCAGGGCCTGCCTCTAGGCAGTCTGCGGCAGGGGGCACTGCAGCCTTCAGGGCAGGGCTCCCAGCCCCTGGGCACACAGCAAGATCA